CACAGCACCAACTGCCAGGCTGAGCCATCAGAGGGAAGCCTGACGCAGCTCCTGTCTGTTAACACGTTTATATTCACAAGCTACCAAAGCCCAGCTATGCTTAAACCTTTTATGCACCAGTGACATTGAAACCGCAGCCACAGCCTGCCTGATTTTAATGTAGCTGCGGTTTCAATAACCAATCTCTGAAAATCGGCCTTTACCAGATAAACCGGAACATGAACCGATTCCACCACCTCACAAATCTATTACATAGTGTCTGTGTGCTTAGTACAGGACTGTCTTCTATAATCTCTGGTCTTTGCCAGCTGTCCCAGGCGAGCATGAACACAGGCCTCTTGCCTTTTGGCTATGGGAAGGTTGACTGTCCTCGTCCTCTTCCTCCCCCTCGGTAGGCTCTTCCTCGTAGTCCTCCTCTCCCTCAAAGCAGCCGATGGCATCCACCGTGATCAGCTCCTCCGGGATCTCTGGCCCCCCCTCGTTCCGCAGCTGCGGGGGAGAACATTCACTCTTCATCAGTCTGTCTGGAAATCAAACCGGCCCTCCTAACCTACTGTCAACCCCCCTTTCCAGCCCACTTTACTCTCTGGCACCCCTGATAATATGCCAGAACTGCTCATTTGAGGATAGCAACATCCCTATAGTCTGTACAAACACACAAGCGACTGAAAATGTCTCCAATCTCTCTGGCTCGGATTGCATTCAAAGGCTCTGATCATTCAATGCCGAATCATAACCCTTTTTCTAAAACAAAAAACAAAACAGTTCCCCCCCCCGGAACAGATGCTCCAAGAGCACGTTCGGCATCAAGCCGTTTTGTAGGATCCAATCGAGATTTTACGCGGGGAATGAGAAAGCGACGTGGGGTGGAATCAACTGGAACTAGGGAGCTGCTGGACCAGCGCTCGTGAATCTCCCCCTGATGGAAGTGCTGACGTCTCTTGCCCACCACCGGACCTGCAGAACCCCCGCCACGCAGCCCACCTCCTCCACCCTCTGCTTGTGCTCGGGCGACTTCATGTGCTCCACAAACTTGCGCGGCGTCCTGAAGTGCCACTTGCAGACCGTGCAGAACGGCCGGGACGAGTGCTTGGCCATCTGGGGAGGGAGAGGAGAGTAGATTTGGTTCTTACGGCGTCTTTGTTTTGCTCCCGGCAATCATTCCTGCCGGGGTTTTCCAAAGCAGGAAAAAACCAGCATGGTCGGGGAAAACTGATTTTAAAAAAAGGACAGCAGGGCCTTAATGAAAGGAAAAACCGTGCTCGATTTAGTTGGGCGGATCATTAAAGGGGTTGTTCTGATCCACTATGGTTGGAATTTTTATTTATTAAACAATAACTGACGGTAGGATTCAAGAGGGTTTTGATGGCAACCGAACAGATGGGACATAGTGAACTTCAGCTGTGATGGCGGCCATCTACAACAAAAACCCTGGATTACGGAGAAGCCAGACTTGGTTGTAGGATTCCAGTCTGGCGCTGTTCCTTGAATTGTCCAAGTGAAGGATTCCCACCCTCCCCTTCCCGACACTCAAACTCAAGATATTCCAAAAATACGTCTCTTTGGGTACTTTCATATTGTGATGCCCAGCAGGGGCGTCCCTTTGTAAAACGTATTCAAGCAATCTTGTAATAACTAATACAAATCCCAAAAATACAATGGGAGAGTTGCAGATCAAGCAATTTGGGGCTAGTCGCCGTCGAGTGCAGGGCCGATTTATTGATGTATTGGTGTAGATTTTAAATGCCACAGGAAATCTGTCTAGGCTGGGATTATGAAGCCTAGTCAGAAAACCACCCGCTTAACGCACTGGTTGAATCGTGGAGCACTCAATGCCAGGAACAAGCCCTAGCAGGGTACGGCACAAGGCGGCATGCTCCCCGCCACCCCCCTCCCCTCACCTTGTGCTCTCTGGTCCTGCGGTGCTCAATCAGATCCCCGGTGAAGTGGGCCTGGCAGGTGGCACACCATCGCTGCAGCCCCAGCCTCTTCTCCCTGGGACACACCAGCACACAGGTCACCCGAGAGCTCCACACTGCCTGCGCCGTGTCAGCTGCTAGTGGCTCTACCGTCTCGAGAGTGTGCTTACCTCAGAGTCGCAGATTAGTTCATGTGTAAAGGCACTTGGGACACATGTTAAGTTAAGAGTGATCAATGATCAAGCACGCACAATGCTGCTAGCCAACGGTGAATGGGATTCTCCAAATAGCAATGCAATGTGCCACCTGGGAAAGCATGGGATGAGTTGGCCAGGGATCTGTCGGCTTTCTAGCCAGCTTCACTCCCGTGTCTTACCGGGCACCTGCAGGCTTACAGCAATGCCAGTGAGAGGCTGTGCTGCTTTCTCTGTGCTCTGCTGTGCTGCAGCACTTACAACAGAACAAAAGGTGCATGGCTCTGCAGATGAGCAGTTCCCCATTTCCTCCGGAGCAAGACCGGGGTCATTGTAATAGGGTGAGCAGGATGGGCATGCTTTCTGCTCCCAACAACTGATTGGACGCAGTCAACTTAACAGTTTAAGTGCACATAAAGGCCTACAGTGGGACTGCAGGAAACGAGACACTGCCAGAGGACTAGGTCTTAAAAAACCATTGCCTGAGCACTGCCAAAAGCAAGGTGGAATTAGTTCATCGGTGTGTTCTCAGCAACAACTGCAGCCTCCTAGGCACTTGCAGCAAAGTGGTGCTATCAGTAAAGCAACGTACCTCCCCTCCAATATGGGGCTGCTTCCTGTGATGTGCTAAGACAAAACCCTGATGGATAATTTGATCTTTCTGGGGAAAACTCTGCTTTTTGCAAAACCTGTT